TTTCAGCATCTAGCAAAAAAAAGCTGTCAGCCTGATTATAGTAAAGATGATAATATTATGTTGTTTAATCTTATCTGGATATGTCCCCTCCAGTGGTTTCCTGCTGGTAAACCACAGAGAAGAGAGGCGGTAGTAAGTAAACTAGAGGAAGTGAAATGAAATATAGTATGCTCTTTTGGTTAATAGGGGATTTATGTGAAGGATATTGCTAATTAAAACCAATGGTATTTTCTGCCATCTGGGCTTTCAAAATGAGTTTCGGAGGACACAGAGGATGTTTTGTTTCACTGAATTACTTGTATCTTAGGGAAGCCACTGGGATGAAATATTAGTGTTGTGGTAAACTCTGCTTTCACTTTAACAGCAACATATAAAATAAGCACTTTACAGAGCGTGAGTATATGGTTTCACGCACATAATGTCCAAATGAAAGGGCAGCTTGGGGTTAGAGGAACAAAATCCACTCAGTCTACTCTGAGGTACAAGAAACTGCCAAACTGTAGTGGTTACTGGAATAGGAGCTCTTGTGTTCACCAGGCTATGTAAGTGTGGCTCCAGGGCTGCTGGATCTATGGAAACATGGAGTCTGGGGATTTGCCTCCAGTGCTGACCTTCGGACCAGCCCACGGGTGGCATGGTGATTCACTGGGAGCATGTGAAACCAGGGGCTGCCCTGCTGCTACCTCTCACAGCTTCCCTCTGCTTGACCAGAGGGAGTTGAAGTTGCTCCAAAGACTTAGCCAGAATTCCCAAATAAAGCACCTCACCTCGTTAACTGCATCAGGAAATACTGAGCAACCTCAGCAAAAAGATTTGTGAGTGAGATGACATCTTTATGCCTCGGTGAAATCTTGTGCTCAGCACGCGCTTACTTCATCTGGATTCTAGGCTCTTGCCCAAGGCTGAGGAAACAAACCTAAACTTTCTTCAGCTTGCCTATTCCTGAGTGCCTTGTGTCAGCAAAATGAGCCTTGTCATGTGGCTACCGGATGTCTTTTCCACCTTCCACACCACTTCCAAGGATCCCAGCTGGACCCACTTCCCTAAGAATGAACAAAAAATCCACTTTTGTTGTTAGAGTTGTCCTTATATCTGGAAACAAACAGTTAGTAGGCGATGTTGGAACAATTCCTTGTGTGTTAACAGTGTGTGAAGATAAGCTTCACATGTGGCTGAGCTGGGGACTTTGAAGTTAAATATGAACAGAAGAAGTGAAGAAAAGGTACTGCAGGAAATAGTTGGCACCCATCTTAACCATCATCAACCTGTAGCCTGTGGGATGTCTCCTGTCTGATTTCTGCTTGCATGTTATTTGTGTAGCTGAGTTGTTGTAATACCTTCTGGGCCCATATTGTCAAAGGCTGAACTGTCCTGCTGTGATTTATCCCAAATTTGTGGCAAGTGAGTGTCCTTCACTAGGCAATTCAAATAAATGCATGCATCCTGCAAGAATTAGAACCTGAATGGAAAGTCAGTGTCCTCTTTTTTCCCACCCATTTCAATTGTATGTTTATCAAGATCCCTCTTGCCTCATTTGTTCTTGTGCTCTTGAGGGCTTGAACATTCCTCTATTATTGCAAGAAGCTTCTGTTTACCTATTTTCACCTGTGTTCTGGTTTCTGGCCCTTGCTCTTCTCTTTTTGACTCTCTGAGGGTACACAGATGGTAGCCTGGAAGGCAAAAGGAATGATACTGGAGGAGTGAGAGAGTGAGAAGGAAAAGGAGTAAGAGAAATAAAAAAGGTGGTGTTTTTATAAAATAAAAAATAAAAAAAGGCAAGCAAAGCAGTGATCACAGCAAGATTCCAGACTGTCCTAACAGCAAAACCCTAATATGTATCAGTGTGCTGGATCTTGTCAAGATACAGGTAATGATTATTTTTGGGAATGCAACCTAAACACCATTTAGTGTGTTGGCTGTAAATGTTTAGACCTGTTAAGTAAGTCACTTATCACAGTTCCATCACAAAGTACATCCTGTCAGCTGAGAAATACTTTTTTTTTTTTTTAATTCACAGTCATTACCACAGTTTGCTCTTTAATGGTGGACATCAGCCTCAGAGGCATCACACAGCACACACCTAAGCATTTCTCACATCCAGATTAAGCCCCTTTAGACAGGAGAGTATGCAGAGGGGTGAATGCACCCTATGTACAGGAAGGAGTCAATCTCACCCCTGCAGTCCATAGGGACTGAGTAGCATTTTTTTAGAGGATAAGGAAATACCATGACTTACAGATAAGACGTCAGGTTTTTTTTTTTTTAAGCAGTGTTCTTTAGGATAGTAGGTGAAACACCGAAATATTCTTGGAGGAAGCTGATTTGCATCCAAAGTGTTTTATAAAACGAGCCTTTAAAAGAAAGCCGAGTAAGTATATGCAAATATTGTTCTTAGCATACAAAATATTGCAGCTATTAGTACAGTGCGCTACCGCCTTCCTAAGTTTGCACATGAAATGTAGCCAAGCTTATAAAAGAACCATTTAGCTGCACTGAGGGTACAGGCGGGGGAAAATCAGCCGAAGCCGAGGTGGGTCAGGCACTACACGGGCGAGTTCAGCAAGGCGGAGCGAGAGCGCGGCCCCGGGGCGGCTGCCAGAGGACACCTGGCGGTGGCGGCGGCGGCGCTCCCGGAGCCTCGCACCGGCTCACGGGGGATGGACGGGGAGCGAGCCGCTGCCCATCCAGCTTCCCTTCGTGCTCTGCCCGTCCAGCTTCCCTTCGTGCTCTGCCCGTCCAGCTTCCCCTCCGCGCAAGAGATGCGGCGTGCGAGAGGAATGACAGCAAGGAGAGAAAATTCAGCAGTCGCTGCAGAGTCTGTCCTCGGAGAGGAACTCCTCGGAACAAGCAGACAGAGCCCTCTAGCACTGGGGACTTGGTCAGCATGGAAATCAGAGACAAGCGCTGCCTGCCATACTCTGCACACTCACACCTCTCCCGATTCCCTCTGTTCCCACTTACATTTTCTGTCGTTTTGTCATTTCATTCCGTTTTAAAGGAATGAACCTTCTAGGAAGGACACTGCCTGTAACAGGACAAAGTGAAAAACACACCGTTCCTTTCACTCGTGGTGCATTTTTCTGAGGCTGTTTGTTAGGACAATAATAATATCATTTCTGTGGTCATGTCAGTACAGAGACAGTCTGCTGCTTAACTGGACTAGTGATTTTGGGTAGAAATGATAACATTCTAAAATATCATTTTTAACCAAAACAATAACACTCAAGCAGACATCCAAACCAAATGCTTGCCAGTGCTTTTAATCTTGACACCTTGAAGTTTGTTATAATAAGCCTGCATGAACCTATGCTTGGATTTATGATTGTAGACCGTATTTCGTGTTGTAAAATGGGCGTTAAAGGAACAGTTAAATGCAATTACCCAAAATTTGGCCTTTGGATTTTCAGCATACATGTGGCAGTTCCGTTCCACTTCTGCTGTTTCCAGAAAAAGGTAGTCAATGAGAAGTTTACTAGGCAGTGAAATACTTGTAAATGTCAACATTCAGCCTGCTTGCCAGAGCTGAGTGAACTGGTACAACCAGAAAGTTACTTACCCATGAGAGGTGGGTATGGGCGGAGGGGAAAGAAAACAAGAGAGGACTGGAAAAGCATAAAAGAATCCTGGATTGTTTCTGTAGGGTTCTGTAGGAGTAGACTTTATTCCAATCGTACTGCAGACCTCATCATTTGGGGGAGCAGATGGGAGCAGCCACATCAATCCTGATAACATCTTCTATTTTGCAACCTCTGTGTAGAAATGGGTCCTGTGAATACAGATACGGTTCTTTGCAGAACTAGCCTGCAGAGTAGAAATAGGGAAATTCAAATTCTGAAAACAGCTTTCGGTTTGCTTACCAGAACGTGTGGGGGAGGTGGAGGAAATGTGGATACCTAGCCATGGCTTATTTGGCAGGCAAACGAACCTGTTCAGGGCTGCAGAAGACAGGGAAAGCTCCATGCTCCTGACCCATGTGAAACTTAAGTGCGGTGCACAGGAGACAGAGCACACAGGGCAATTCCGAGAACTCCACTGCCATGTGTTTCTTCTCTATAGGTATATTCTCCCCGGTTTCAAGATGTGGGTAAGAGCACGCACTGAAGGAGTGCGCACACAGCATCCCTGCCGCAAGCCCAGAGGCTCTCAGACGGACTTTCGCTGAGGCAGTGCAGAGCCTCCAGAATGACACAGAGTCCCAGTCACCCCGCTGCTCGCCACTCCGGGAGCTCCCGCCCGAAGGAGCCGGGGGTCTCAGGAGCCCGAGGGCGGCAGAGGGGCAAGGGCGGGGGCTGAGAGCGGCCGGGCCGGGCGGCGTTGTCCAGGGTCTTGAAAGCGGAGTGCGGGGCAAGGGCAGGGGCCAGGCCGCTCTGCCGCGCTCGACTGGGCACGGCAGCAGCTGGGGGTCCCGGGCCAGCTGAGGGATCGGCGCTCCCCGGCTCGCCGCCCTTCCCGGTGCCTCCCATGCTCTGCCTCGCAGCGTCCCTCACCCCACCTGTTGCTCGCTTCCGATCCCGAGCTGGCCGCCTGTCCCGGGGCGCCCCGGGGATCCCCTCCCGCGCCCCCGCCGCGGCGGGCGAGAGGCGAGAGGCGGCGGGGGAGGCGGTGTCAGGCCGCGGGGTTCGGGATGCGCGACAGCGCCAGTGGCCAATGCGGGGCTGGCGGTCCCCCGGGGCCGCGCCGGCGGAGCAGCTGGAGGCGGGGCCGGCGGGCGGGGCGGGACGGCGGGCGTGCGGGCACGGCGAGCGCGGCTGTGAATGTGGCTGCTGCCCCCGCCCTCCCGCCGCCGCCCCGCCCTCCCGTCCGGCGGCGGAGCCGCACTCCAGACCCAGCGCCGGGCGGAGCGCGGGGGAGCGAGAGGAGGAGCAGCGGCGCTCACGGCAGCCCGCAGTACCCCGCAGCACCCCAGCGGACGGCCCCGGTTCCGTGCAGGGCTCCGGTGTCCCGCGGGAGGGGAGCGGAGCGGAGCCCGTGTGCGCGGGGGGGCATGGGGGTCCCGCGGGCGGAGCAGCCGGAGCGCGGGCAGCAGCGGCGGCCGCGGCTGCACCAGGTAAGGAGCGGCCACCGCGTCCGTGTGCCTTCCCTCCCGGGAAGGGCTCGGGAACACTTCAGGGAAGGGGGTGCTGTGAGGGCAGACCCGTCTCTTCTTCCCTCAGGTGCCTTTGGGAGGGAGGCTCGGCTTCTCCGGGCTCCGCGGGAGGACGGAGGGCTGGGGCGGGTGGGGAAGCGGCGGGGAGCCTCGGGCCCCCCTTCCCCGGCGGCACCCCGTCCTCGCCCCGGCCGCCGCCACCCCGCCCCGGCGCGGCGGGCACCGTGTGGCGGCCGGGGCCACTCGCTCCCGCAGGTCGCCTTTATAAATAGCGATGCGATCCGGCCCATAGGGAACGGCGGCGGGGGCGGCGGCGGTGTCGGCCGGGTCGCCAGTCACCTGCGGGGCGGTTCTGCCGCCGGCTGCGGGCAGCCCGAGCACCCCGCTCCCCTCTCCGAGTGTCGCTCCAACAATAATGGCAATTGCGGAGTAAGTTTGCCCGGATCGGACATCTCTGGGGAGAGCCGCTGCTTAGAGCGGGGCCGGTGCAGCGGGGGCCGCCAGGCGCTTGGGGTGGCAGCGGGAAAAGCTCTTCAGCCCGTGCAGTTTCCGTAATGATTTTAATCGCCTTTTTTTATGGTTACTGGATGCAAGGCGCGGGCTGCATCCTTTTGCACTCTTTGTTATCTTGTTATACCCGGAGAGCTGTTCAGGGGTCCGTTCTCCAAACCTGGCGTTCGATTCGTTAAATAGCAGCTAGCTCGGCTCAAGTTTGCCTCAGATTTTATGCCGGTGGCTTCGCAGCCCTTCTGTGCTGGGCGGCAGCGCTCGGCTGCGCCGTGAGAGCCCCTGCGAATGGGGAAGTAGCGTTCCGCAGCCTTGACAAAGGCAACTCCGGAGCTGGCAAATTTCAGATATGGCTGTTAAGGTTCACGAAGTAGGTCAGTAAACTACTTTCGTACTTGGTGCTGCATTATTTTAATACATCGGTAGCTTGAATGCTTGCTTTCAGCCTGGCTTTTCTAAAGGAGTTATATTTTTATTGTTTTTTAATGATGCAAAAGAAATGCTAAGTTAAAGGGAATTGCACATGTAAAATTTCTCGAGCTCTTTTGTGCGCAGTTTTCACTTCTGAAAGTTAACACTAGATGGCTTTCTTATATCAGCTATCCTGCAGGGAAGGAAAGCATGTAATCTGTCTCTGCAGCCTGCTATTTCTGTGTTTGTCTATTTTTTTTCCCTTCACGTGAATAGTAAACTAACTTCTGGTCAGTTGTGCACCGATTAGACAAGAGCAGATTTGAAGCTTGCTTACTAGCTGACATAATTCGTTGTTTTGATTAGCTCATGTTGCTGCTTTAGACTTTATTTTACATGTGTGTTACTAATACCTAAAGAAAGTTTCTTTAGTTGGAAGGTAACACTGCATAATATTTATGTTGCTATACAGGAAGGCAGCTGGAAAACGCAGGATGTTTGTAAATGGGGAAAAGCAAATAATTCAGTCTCAGTTGTTACTTAGTTTGATGGACCTTTAAAGGGACCGCAGTGTATTAATATTGTCTGTTCAGCTATTTTTTCCCCAGATTCTGTACCTAGCTACCTTAGACTGAAACGTTTTGGAGCTGGATTCAGAAACATAATGCTTCACAGCCTGCTGGATATAGAAATGCCTAGGCTTGAAGCCTTTTTACTCTATTTCTTGTGTTTTTACAAAACTGTGCCTTTTGTCAGTGCGAATGTGTTATTTGCCCTCCATTCACTTCTTTGGTGGTAGCTCTGAAATACTTCAGTTTTCAAATGTGATCTTTGAAATATCTTTTATTATTAATGGAACATGTTTAAATCATCAAGAGCTCTAATGCATTATAGATATTTAAACATCACTTAGGGTCCACAACAGTTGATTTATAATTTATGTAGCATTCATATAAAGCTAGATTTAGAGAGGTCTCTGAATGTATTGTCTTGGTTTTGCATGCCCAGTGGGTTACCTTAGCAGGTCATGCAGCACTCAGATGAAACAAGAAGGAATGCTTGTAAGGATGCCAGACTGTTTCACCAATCCTATTGGATCAATTAAAGATCATTTCATTCATATCTGCCAAGGCTATAATGTGAAGCTTAGAACTAAGCAAAACCTCAATTCTTTGTAGCTGGTATTTGCTTACTGTGCATATCAGAGTATTTTTAAAGGTTTATATTTCATTTTCCTGAAAGAAAGATAGTATCATCTTTTTGTATGACATGCCATTACTCAAGTGCATTGTGAAATACTCTTGCAAATGAAGAGAGTCAAATGAGTAACTAAGCCAAGCAGTGGTCAAACAGGCAAAACCATACCTTTTTTTTTTTTTTTCTGCTTTTGACTTTTATGACTGAACTGAGGCAGTTCATTTTTCCACTTCCAGCTTCATACTGAACATGGGCAGCATTGCACTTAATGTCTTTATCTGCGGATCACCTGTTCAAACTGCAAGAGAGAGGAAGTATTTTCTTCTTGCCTTGGCCGGAGTTAGGATTATATTTAGATGGTTGGATGTTAAAATATTTTCAGTAGGTTCCTGCCTTTTACTGCTCAGAGATCTAGTTTGGTAACACAGAAAGAGAAATGCTATGCTATTATGATAATACAAGTTACAGATTGTGGAAGGAGGGTGGGGCACTGGGTTATCTAGTTTCTCATGTTAGTCATCCAAGATTACCAACAGTAGCTGTTTTGACAGCTTGAAATGAAATCAGGGTTTGACAAATGCTCTTTTCTCTTTCTATGCAATTTTTGCTTTGCAGTTTAAAATGCTTTGCAATTTTAAAATGTTTGGGTAAGCTGGGTTGTGGATCAGTGAAGTGGAGGTGGCTGTTTATTTTCTATATGTTGCAATTCTGTCCTCAGAGAACATTTTTTTTGTATTAGGTAACCTAATTTGTATCTGGATCTTCAAAATGTTACCTTTTGCAAAGTCAAGACCAACTTCAGTTTATCTCTTTATTTTCAGCACAATTTTGACCCTTTAATAAATCTGGACAAGTCATGAAATCAAGGGTCGGGATGCCCCTGATAGCCTTTTTCAGCCCTGGTTTTTCTACCTGAATTTTGAGAGAAGAGTGTGAGGGCTGTCTACCAAATCAAATAATCTAATAAGAAGAATTTATGAGGGAATTTTTATTTGGTAGATTGGAAAGTACGTTTCACAATTGTTTGTTTGCTTGTTTGTTAAACACTAGTTGTTTACATAAATTGCATTAAGAATAACATTAATTGCTGATGACATTCAGTGCTGATGTCATATGGCTGGTTAGATTCTTAAGAATTGTCAGGATTTCACATGAATAGCTGTCTCTTTTTTTAGTTTGTTGTGAAAGAGCAAACTTAATATTAAACATCTGATTTATCCTGACAGAAGTAAATGAGAGAGAACCTGCCTTCCTTTGTAGTAAAGCACTGAACCTGGATTTAAAGCCACTTTGAGGCATAATTGAATGAGCAGAAGATTGAAAAGGATTATTATAATTGGTGATACTCTTTTAGTTTTTTAGTTAGACAGGACAGCAGTAGGCAGAAATGTCATTGTGATTACTTTGCACCATAGTTCTTACTAGGAGATACGTAGGCTCTTGTTTGGATCACGAAACTGTAATTACATCAGCAGTTTGCTGCTCAAGATTTCTAAGTGGATTCTTCTGGTTTTCTGGAATTTCTTAAATAATGAGCAGTGCATACATAATTAAAGGTTTTGTTTAAAAAAAGTCTAGAATCCTTATGGAGGTAATGTTCTGAACGTGCAGTAAATGTAAGCAGCTGCTGTCCCGTCTTTTTGGACATGCAAGCAAACAGCTTTATTGGATTCAATGCTTGTAAGACTTTTTAAGAATAGTAGATGTTTGAAATGAAATAGGCATTTATTTTAGTGCTGTTAACTGGGGATTCTGTAATTTTTATGGAAAAAGACCTGTAGCTATTTTTTATTTTTTTTTTAAAGCTGTGATATGTCATGCAGAAAGATACCGTAGCTATTTTTTGAAAGTGAGGGAATCTAGGAGGCAAGAGGAGCAGTAGTAAATTGGCTTGTAGTAGCTGTGAGGCTGGAAGGTGGCAGTAGCTGAAGTTGTCTGGCTGCCCCTCCCCCTCAGCAGCTTAAATAAAATTCTGAGCACAGGACTTGGAGTTTTGCCATTGACTTTGAATCTTTTCTTATATAATGTCTTTATTTTTTGTTCTGGATCCTGCAAAGTTGCATACCCAGCTCTGCAGATATTTGTGTAATGCTTCTGCGTTGTTTGCTGTTTCTTCTTTCCTCCCACTCTCCCTTGGCTGCCTGAATTCTCACTGGCATAGTGGCTGTGGGTTGTGATAATGCCTGCCTGCATTTATGTGTGTCATGTGTCCTCTAACATAAATCCCATCACGTAATTTTCATATAACTTACACCTGAAAAGTCATGCTGTGAAATACCTATGCTCCAAAGACTAACCAAAAGATTAAAGATCCAAACATCTCATAAAACTCATCAATTTGCCCTTCCATTTCCCTTTAGGGTCACCAGCTTTTTTTTTAAACTTGATACAAACTGTGATGAAATGATAGAACCGTTTTACAAATTACAGGAACAACAAATTACAGTACTTAAAATGTTTTTTAATAGGAAAGATATCCTGAGAACATCAGACATTCTGTGGCAGGTTAATTTAAATGCAATAAAATGTGTTTTAATACATTTATAATTTTTTTTCTAGTGGTTTGGCATTTTTTTGTGTTTTATTTTGAGTTGCCTTTGTTTTTTTTAACACTTGTTTGTTGCATATATATGAGATGGAAAGGAGATTCTGGGCCACCTTATATTTCATTTGGGATTTTTACAGTCACTTCAGTCAAACCTGATAAATTGTGAAGGGATGTGACAATGAAATGGAAATTAAGGTGAGTAAGGGCAGAGTGAAACATTCTAAAGTATGTGTTATAAGTGCACATAGCGTTATAATATTTTTGCTAGTTTTTTTTCCCCTTTAATGTGGGGTAGTAA